ATTTTCAAATTGAGTAGAGGTTTTTTGATTTATTACAGGATTATAATTTGAATTGTGTGATTTGGATAGAGGAAGTGGGTGAGAAAATTGTTGATTAATTTTGGAAAAAGGAAGTTGCATGATATTTCAGTAGAAAATGCATTGTTCCAAACAGGCTTGGGTAGTATTTCAAATAAAGTATTTTAAAATACAAAATAAAATAATTTTTTGTTTTATATTCTTAAATTATATTGTTTATAACTGTATTTTCTTTTGAAAATATTGTAGAAAAACTATGAAATGTATTTGTATTAAATATATAAAATATAAAATACTAAAAAAATATTTTATTTTGTATTTTAAATACATTATCAAATTGAGAAGGCGCCTTAAGTAGTACATTAAAAAGTCAAGTAGTAAGTCTAATGGTTTTTACAAGAACTCTCCAATGGAAGTTGAGCTTGAAAATTTGTTAAGATCGATGGTGCTGAATTTTTAATACAATTTTCTTTAACAATAAAACTGGTAGATATTTAGAAATTATGAAAGGTTCTAGAACATTTTTCATTGGAAGGATGAAAGAATAAATTATCGATAGATATATTGTTGGGAAAAACAAATGTATTTTTATTTATGTGATTTAAAAGAATTTCCCTCTAAAGAACCTGGAAGAAATGCTCAAATTAATCAGCAGAAATATATTAATTTATTACAGTGAAGTTGAAAATTACAATGAAATACTCAAAAGATTAAAAATAAATCATTAACGTAATAAAACTAAAAATTACAGGTAAAGTTTCATTAGTGAAAATTACAATTAACTTAAGAAATCATTAAAAATAATTTTTTTTTCGGTAACATTGTTATTATAAATTATAATTCATATTTTATGCTAATGAATTTTTACTAATCATTTAATATTATGGGAGAAGCGAAATTGTGAAATATATTGTTGATAACATTACTGAGCTTGCAAATGACTAAACCTAAAGTAGGTAAATATTTCAAATTTTTCTCTATGTACAAATACCATACTCGCTCAGTTTAAATTGAAATCCTTAGATCGATGACAAAATTTACAAATCCTGGATGGCTTTGTGATAAATGAATCCTGTGATATAAATTGTTTTTATAGAATATAACACTCCACTGCCCAAACCACGGCCAGTTGAACGAATATTTTCGTTTTTTAATTTGTTGGATGCACCCAGAATGAACAATTGTTTGAGGAACGGGTATTATTAAAAGCTAATTTTTGCCCAGTGCTGGTTCCAAAGTATGGGGATGGCATTTGTGGGAGAACAATATTCATTTATGTGGGATTTGTTATTGGAATCAATGTTTTTTTCTACTTTTAAGGAACAGGATGCTAATTTTGAATTGGGTGAAGAGAAGTTGTCAGATGTCGGTGCTGAATGATGCAGAGTTCTGGATGATTTCTGAAATCTGGTACTACAATAAGTGGGAAGAGAAGAAAGGTGTTGGTGCAAGGGAGTCTGTTGTTGAGGATTTCTTGATCCGAGCTGAAGTCTGGAACTGCGACGTACAGTTGTGGGTTGGTAAATTGTTGGTCCCGTGATAGTGAATTCATAATGGTATGGATATGATTGACCGAAATTATAATTTAAGAAGAAGTTGGTCGGAGTGTGGTCAATATATAATACTATCAACTGAATATCAAATATCAACTGATATTTTGTTTTATCAATTAATATTTATAATTGTATTTATATCATTTTTAGCCCTGATGAACAGGGGTGCCCAGAAGGAGGTTTTATGGCACCAGTTGCGCCATCAAACTTTTTAAGATGGTATATTTTGACGGGTTTTTGAATTTTGGAGGGTGACACATTTCAGCGGGGTTATGAATTTTCAGAATGAAAAGTTTCAGAATAAGGAACAAGGGGAAAACATGGAACAGACCGAAGCAAGTGTAATTGTGTGTGATATATGATTTTTCTAATTCTACTTTCCCTTGCTCTTTTTTTATGAAAAGGTGAGGAATAAAATAGGTCAAAACATTGGCAAAAACAATAAAATACTATTATAATATTGTATATAGTATTATATATTGACTGCAAACCCGACCAACTTCTCTTCAAATTATAATTTTTTTTTTTTTTTTTTTTTTTTTTTTTGAAATCTATTTATTGGATAATAATACAATCAGCCACTGCTGGAGGGCTATAAGCATTAGGGCTAAAAGTTCTCATTCATACAATATATACAAATAATAAAGAAATAAATATAAATATAAGAAGTAAATAAATAATACTGATGAAGAAGGTAAATAAATAAAAAAAAAAAAAATAATAAATAAAAAAAAAAAAAAAATAAAGTAAAAACTTCTAAACACAATCATAACTATATACAATATATACATTTGCCCAAGAATCTCCGAGCCAGGCTTTTACCTCCACACGCGGAAGGCAAAGCAAGACTCCGGAAGATCCCAGTGCCACTTTTCCAGTCGCATCACTAGTATTAGAAGCCAGTGGAGACTGAAAGAGGGCAATACAGCCATAGACGCTCAGGACATGAGTGGAGAAGCTGGCCATTGCCAGGACTCCAAAGTCATATTTACAAAAGATCTCGAGGCCACTGCCGTTTCAACCTTCGAGGGGGATGGTATGGATGCTCGGAGCTGGATAGGGATTGCGCTAGAGGATTGGGATGATGAATGAGGTTGTGGTGAAAGTTGGAGAATCTGGATGGGATGATGTCATGGACATATGGGATGTTAAGGTCATGGTGTAGGGTCTTGTTCGTGACATAATATGGAGCATTGACTATTGTTCGAAGGACTTTGGACTGGAAGGATTGGATGCGTTTGATATTCGATGATTTAGTTGTCCCCCACAGTTCAAGTCCGTAGGTCCAGATAGGTTTCAGTATGGTCTTGTAGATTAATAATTTGTTTTCTGTTGAGAGATGAGATCTTCTGTTTAGTAGTCTATATAGCTGACCAAATCGTCGGTTAAGCTCTTGTCTTTTAAGTCTCGTATGTGGGTTCCAAGTCAGTCTTTTGTCCAGAAGGAAGCCAAGGTATCGGACTGTGTCTGAGTAGGGAAGAGGAATTGAATTAAAAAGGATTGGCAGACAGGATCTGCGTCGAAGAGTGAAAGTTACATACTTGCATTTTGATTCATTAATTTTGATGCGCCAGTTGTTGCACCACTGCTCAATGAAGGAAAGGTGTCTTTGCAGGTTCTGGGACGCTATTAGAGGATCCGAGTGGGAGGATAGGATGGCAGTATCATCAGCAAATGTTGCTAGGAAGGTATCAGGACTTGAAGGGATGTCAGCGGTGAAAAGGATATAGAGAACTGGGCCCAAGACACTGCCTTGTGGAACACCAGCCTCAATTGGATAATGTTTGGAGAGTTCAGTGCCGCAGCGGACTTGAAAGGAGCGATTTGAAAGGTAAGATTTGAGGACTAGGTACAAGGGTTGAGGTAAATGGGTTTTGAGCTTGAAAAGCAAGCCATCGTGCCACACCCGGTCGAAAGCTTGAGCTACGTCCAGAAAGGCACCAGTGCAATATTGCTTGTTTTCAAGTGCAGAGGATATGTGGTCCACAACGCGAAGGCCTTGTTGGACAGTGGAGTGTCTTGAGCGGAATCCAAACTGATGGGAAGGGATATTGTGGGATTCGAGTATGGGTAGGATGCGTTTGAGAAGGATTTTCTCAAAGATTTTGGAAAGGATCGGAAGTAAGCTTATCGGTCTATAGGATGATGTATAATTAACAGGTTTACTTTGTTTAGGAAAGAGGATAATTATTCAAATTATAATTATGATCTATCATATGCATACTTTTAAAATACTGCCCAGGTTTGATAAGTTCATATAGGATATTGAAATCATTTTCAGTGCCTTCAATAAGTAAAAAAAAAAAACTATTATTTCTTTCAACAGCCCTTCTAGATTGTTTTTCAGGACTTCAGTTAGAATTATTGAGGTTGTTAGTTAAACCACTCTTTCAGAGAAGTGTAAAGGTTCAAAGCATGACATGGGGGTATATTTGACCTATCTATAAAAGACAAAGCGATCAGCCGGGCTCAGTTGCAAAACCATAACGCTAATGGCTTCCAAGGCACTCATTCCATTTTACTATTGAGAACAATATGTTAGAGTTCTCCTTTTATTGATCTTTTGATTGTACAGCTTTGCTCTCGTTCTAACTGAGAAAGTAGTCCTGTTATTATTAGTCATACTCTAACTTCTTGTGACTTCTGATGAGGGTTGCTTTCTTATTCCCTCATTACAGGCATTGAAATAGGTAACATGTTTGTGATTTTTGGTGATAAGAAATGTGTTCTGTGTTGCAGAAGCAAAACTAATTTTTTGGATTTTTAGCAGTTATTGAAAGACTTTTTTTTTAACCCCTTCTATATTATTTAATTACTACCCATAGATCTTATCAGTATCCCAAGCCAGACAGTATTATAGATGATGCTTCTACAGTTATATAAACTGGGACACATTTTGTCCTATTATATTTCAACATGATTTTTAATGGTATGATTTAATTATAATGAAATATTATAATTTTAATCAGAATATAAGGTAAAATTGCCTTCAATAATTGTTATAATGAAAAAATAAAGAGAAGAACAACTATTAATGGCATATAATAAATCAAAATGTTTTAAAAACAAACTTAACTTTAATACTTTAAATTTTATAACTTTGCTTGAAAAATAGGATATAAATATACCTTCTGTAATTATTTTGATTGTGACATTGTTAGCTTTTTTTTCTCACAAATATAGGTTTATTTATAACATTGAGGACAAAAATAAGTTAAAAATTAATTTAAATTTGACAGTTTTTTATTAAGTATTGTTTTCAAAATATGAATAATTTTCTTCTACATTATTAAAAATAAAAAAATTAAAACATATTCTCCCATTATAATTTGCTCTTAAAATTAAAAATTGTCTTAAAATAGTTAGTTAGTAATTAGTCAATCACTTAGAATCTTATATAATTATATTATTTAGATACTTTTTATTGTGATTGATTTTGTTTACTTAAAATAATTGATTTTGTTTACTTAAAATAATATAACACCTCTGTTTTACATTAATATGATAGCTTCATGTTGTTCTCCCACAGATCTATAACGTTACTTATAACTTCAACAAACCATTTTTTTTTGGTTTGGTCATTAAAAAGAGGTGTTAATGTTTTTAGTTCTAAACTTATTAGAGCACCATTTTCTAATTTCTTGTCTAACTCTCGTAGTATTTTTTCGTTCCCATAAAGTTTTAATAAGCTGGAATAAGGAAATATGAATGATCTAGATCTTAGAGCCAATTTAGCCCATTCTGCAACTGGTGAATTACCACTTGCTGATAAAATTGGTCCAACATGATCTGCATACCACGGTGAGAAGAATGCATGCAATTCTGCTTTACTTAAAGAAGTTATTCCTGTTTTTCTTAATTTTGTCTTTAACCTGTAATAAACAGGAGGATGGTAGACTATAACCTGCAAACAAAATAATAAGCATATAAATGGAATGGAATAATATAATCTGTTATTTTAGATTACTGTGTAAAAGGTACTTTAAATATATTTTGAAGATTATTTTTAGAAAATATAGTTTGTTGATGAGACAAACTTATGATTATCATTATCTGTGATTCTTTAGAGTTCGTAATTCCCTTTAGATACCCACCCAGCTTTCATCTCTAGAGTTATACCTTGGAGGGATAGGCTAACAGGGTGGCTATCCCACCCAGAGTGTCCAAATGCTGAACAAATTGTTAATAAACAGTGTTTTTTTATTTTTTAGGATCCAAAAAGAAAACATGTTTTATTAGTGTTAAGTTGAATATACTTATAAATTAGTGGAAGAAGGCAAGGGTGTTCGAATCAAATAACCTAGATTTATTTTAGGTAGAGGGCACCAGTTGAGAAAAATCACTTTTCATATTTAAATTATAGTATTTTCTTTCTAGAAAAGTATTGTATAAATACACTATCTTCTTTTTCTTTCTTTGGTGCCATAGTTTATGAAAATCATTGGCTATTGAAAGCCCCACTCAACAAATTTCCTCCACTCAGACCGATCCATCGCAGCTCCTCTCCAAATGCTTAAACCCACTGGCCTAAGGTCTGCCTCAACATCGTCCATCCATCCATCCGTCTAGGTCAGTCTTTATTTCTTTCTTTATCTGGACGTCCTTCCATTTATTACTTTAGGTGTCTTATTTGATTCATGCGATATACATGGCACAGCCATATCATTCTTCTGTGTTTGTTAAGATGGTGCGCATTGTGAAGGACTGATCTTTCGTTGGTCTGCCTCATCGAAAGACTCTCTGGTATCCACCTATTTCTCGTTCAGTGAATGCCATAAGTCTGTTGAAGAGGATGTCGGAGACTACTTTGTAAGCACATGAGTAGGGGTGCCCATAGGTCGATGGTGTATGAATCATCTCCCTTCTCCAAAAATTGTATTACTCCCCTCTTCTTAAAAACGGTGCAAGCGAAACTAGGGTTAGACAAATCATGTACAATTACACTTGCTGTGGTCTGTCCTATGTGGTCTATCCTCCTGGTTCTCTTTTCGAAACATTTAATTCCGAAAATTCATAGACTCATCGAAATGTGCTCTCCTCAAAAATTCAAAACCCAGTCAAAATGTGCCTCCCTCAAAAATTTTGACGGCGTAACTTGCACCATGAAACCCCCTTCTGGGCATCCCTGCACATGAGAGCAGCTATGTTCACATATTCAAACTGGTCTACTTTTTTGTTTATTGGTAATTCACAGCGTTCTTCCGTTTCAGTGGCATCCTCTTATCCAGTCAAACTGTGAGGATCGGATCATACTTAGCTTTATGAAGATCTTTGCCACCATATTTGAAATGTTCAGCCGACTGAACTGTTGTTCTTTATTCTGCCAAGGGTATCTTCAAACTCCTCGAAGTCTGGTGGTTCTATGTCTTCACCCCCATTTTTCAATTCTCTACTGCAATCGGATATTTTTCGTTGTGGAGCGTCTTTAGTTAAAGTATTGAGCCCATCAGTCCAGTATGTATTTTTTTTTTTTGTTAGAAAAGTTTCATCCTCCTTCTTGCATGACTGAATCCTAGGCTTAAAGAGCCTACCTCTTACTTTTACCTCCTCTTATTTACCTTCTGGAAGAAAGTCTGGGGATCATTGGTTCTCCTATGCTCTTCAATTTCTTCCAAATCCCTATTCTCATATGCACTCTTATTCCGTTTGTAGAGCAGCTTCTCCTCTGGCGTTTTCTTTCTGTACAATTCGGTTGGCCCTCTTGAATATCACTTTTTACCATAGCTCTGTACACCACATTTTTCACATATTTCTTCAGTAGCTCTCCTGCACTCCTCATCGAATCATGTTAATAATATATCATGCTGTTTAGAATTTTTCAATTGTTTTTTCCGCAGCTTATGTGTCAATCGGCTCCAAGCAATCCAAAATGCCTTGTTCATTACTATAATCATTATCGCCATGTGCCTCATGTACCTTGGGTTTTATGTCGCTTTTGAAGGGGGTTTGGTCTAAGTCTTAGTTTTGCGATATCCCATTTCTTAGGTCTTTGTGATGTCCTATATCTTGCATTAGAGATGCTTGCCCTGATCCTTGCGATGACTGAATAGTGGTTCAAGTCGACAATAGCACCTCTATAGGTCCTTACGTCCATCAAGTTCGATCTGTGGCGTGATTTCCTATTGTTTCACATTAAAAAAAAAAATAATAATAATCAGTTGCACAGAAAATGTAAACAAAAAAAACAACACTATTCCATAACTCTATTATGGATACAAGCTAATAGCGGATTCCATCATTAAGAACAACAAAATCGTCATATTTTGTATCCCAGTAATTTGTACAACATAGCCTCGGTCTCAAGAGAAAATCCTTTTTTATTTCTGTCAAAAACATGCATTCCACTATCCTCGTTAATTTTTGTCTGTTTTCCTTATACAAGTCATAAAAACATCCTATTACTCATATTTCCCAATAAAAAGTCTGACTCATTTGCGTAGTGTTAAAGAAAAGGAGATCGGAAAGCGAAAGAGATTACGATTAATCGATAATAAGAGTAATTAACGATCAATTGATATTATAGACTTCCATCCATGTATGGCACAACATCCCGTTACCGAGACTGGGCCTCCTCCAAGAGCCTCCGCCAGTTGGCTCTGTCTTCTGCTGCAGCTCTCCAGTTCCGCACACCAAGCAGGGTTCTCGCATCATAGGCCACGTTGTCCAACCATCTCGTCCTCGGCCTTCCTACCCGTCTTACGAGGTGCAGCTCCTCCATCATTATTTTTTTTGGTATTTCAAGAGTGCTCATTCTGGCCACATGCCCTGCCCACCTTAGTCTGGCCAGTTTAATATACGTGACTACGTCGATGTCTGCATAGAGAGAACTGAGCTCCCTATTTTTTCTTTTCCTCCAGACATCACCCTCCTTTACTGGACCATAAATCCTTCTGAGGACTCCTCGCTCAAAGACACTCAGCTTCATCTCATCCCTTTTAGTCATCGTCCAAGCCTCTGAGCCATATGTCAAAACAGGCCGAACAAGGGTCTTGTATATGATCAGCTTGGTCTTCTTTGAGAGGTACCTACTTCTTAAGTGTCGGCCTAGTCCAAAGACACATCTATTGGCAGCCGTGATCCTTCTTTGTATTTCTTGAGCCATGTCATTCTTGCTATTAATTTCAGACCCAAGGTATATAAAACTTTTCACTCTCTCAAACTTAAAAGAACCTACCTCAAATGGAGAGTTCAGATCCACCTCACCGCCAACTCTCATATACTTAGTTTTCCTCTCGTTGACTTCTAGACCAAGTGGTCTTGCAGCTGCTTCAAGGCTTATAAACGCTTCTCTGAGAGCCCGTTCAGACCTACCTATTATGTCAATATCATCAGCAAAACCAAGAAGCTGTGTCAGGCGATTGAAGATTATATCTTTGGTCTGAATACCGGAGTCTCTTACAGCTTTCTCCTCTGCCAAATTGAACAATAGACAGGCGAGGGCATCCCCTTGCCTAACCCCACTGCTCACTTTAAACTCTTCGGAGTCGTCAGAACCGACGCGTATTCTGCATCTCGAGCTGTCCATGGTCATCTTGATTAGGCGTACGAGCTTCTGAGGGATGCTTAGCTCCTCCTTATAGACTTCGGTTTGTTTATTTTCTTATTTCTGTTCTAGCCCTTTCTTCAAATTTGGTTCGGTTTGACCAAGAATAATTATCAAGTTTTTTTATATTAAGGAAAATAAAAAAATCATTAAGTTATAGAAGTAGTAGCAAATGAAGCAATGTTTCTAAACGTAATGACATTTATTCCACGAACGATTACATTTTGAAGAACAAAGCAAAAATCGCGCCAGAGGATTATAATAGATATAACTCATAAACATAAGGAAATGGTATTCTAATCGATTTAGAAGAATGTGAGGGGCATGCCTGATAATATTTTATCCCTATTACTGTGCATAAATATATTTCATAAATATATATATTTATGAGTTGGTCCTCGCGCGGGCTCATTACCGCGTATGGGGAGCGTCCCACGGGTGGCGGATGTGGGGATGGTCGGTGGAAATTCCTTGGAAGTTCCTCCCGGCTAAGTCCGATGGACTCGCTGACCAACAATGAGAGGGGCCCTCCAGACTTGCTGGAGGGAGGGGACCTCCAGACTTGCTGGAGGTAGGGGCCCACCAGACTTGCTGGAGGGTGTGACGTAGGATTGAACGCCCTACTCACATATCTTTAGTTTACCAAACACCACAAATAGTCATGGATCTCCCTAAGGTAAAACGCTCATTATCCGGAGGTAAACTAGTCCCCCGTTCGGGTCTCCGGGTGGGGACTGCTTTAGGGGATTCATGGCGCAAGTTGAAATATTGGGATTTAAATACTGGTACGTGGAACGTAAGGAGTTTAAACACAGCAGGGGGGCTAAAATTGGTCGCGAATGAGATAAACGGGTACAATTTGGATGTCATGGCTCTGCAAGAGGTTCGCTGGCCAGGAGAGGGCTCGATAAGGGAAGGAAAGTACACTATTTGGTACGGAGGAAGCGGGAATCATTGTTTAGGTACCGGGTTTCTTGTTAGGAGTAGATTACTATCCGCTTTGAGGGACGTACAATTCTTTAGTGATAGAATTTCGGTAGCTATATTTCAGGGACGTTGGTTTAAAATCGCATTAATAATCATACATTGTCCGACCGAAGACAGTGACGATGAAGTCAAAAGTGAATTTTACGATAAACTCGAATGGGTTGATACAACATAGCTGGCAAAGCAGTATAATTAATGTACGGTCTTATCGCGGAGCAGAATGTGGGTCGGATCATGAATTAGTAATCGCGAAACTTCGACAAAAACTTAATGTAAAAAAGAGAAAAGAAAACCGTTTCGATTTTGAGAATTTTAATTTGGAAAATTTAAAAAATCCATCAATTAGAACCCAATTCGAGCTAGATGTTAAGAATAGGTTCGAAGCTTTAGAGCTTCCTGACGAGGACCACGAGGATATTGACAAGTTATGGGTAGAGATCAGGGATAATATTAAAGCGGTCGGTAACTCGTGTCTAGGAAAAAAGGAAAATAAGAATAACAAACCGTGGTTTGATGAAGATTGCTTAAACATGTGCGAAAAAAGAAAAGCCGCTAAATTAAAAGCTCTAAATAATCCTAGCGAAGACAATCTGGAATACTTCCGAACCTCAAAGCACGAAACAACAAAATTGCTCAAAAATAAAAAAAGGGAGTATCTTAAAAATAAAATAATTGAAATAGAAACTAATAGAATCGAAAATAAAGTAAGAGACATGTACAAAGGTATAAACAGATCACGAAAATGTGTAGGGCCCGTAACGTCTGGAATTAGGGATGATAATAACAATATTCTGACCGATCCGGTTGACATATTGAATAAGTTTAAGGACCACTTTGACAATATTTTAAATACGGGAAATTATGATCTGTGTCCTCCTTCTGAGTACCAGTGTGCCGAACCGTTAGTAGAAGGACCAAGTAAAGAGGAAGTTGAAGTAGCTATCGGAAAATTAAAACCTTATAAAGCAGCGAGAACCGATAATATTCCTACTGAACTAATTAAGGCATGCGGGGAAGCTGGAGTTTCTAAAATACATCGGTTGGTTAAAAAAGATCTGGGTGAATGAGAAATTACCTGAGGAATGGAAAGAATCTATTCTTATTCCGATTCACAAAAAGGGTCCGAGGACGGATTGTAATAACTATCGAGGAATTTCACTCCTCCCGGTATGTTATAAAATATTTACTTTAATCTTAACCAGTCGAATCACGGAATACGCCGAGGAAATTATCGGAGACTACCAATGCGGATTTAGACGGAATCGTTCGACTACTGATCAAATATTTTCTTTACGGCAAATATTAGAGAAAAAATTGGAGTACAATGGTATTGTTCACCAGCTGTATATAGATTTTAAAAAGGCTTACGATTCTATTGACCGCCAGAAACTGTATAATATTCTAATCGAGCAGGGGATTCCAAAAAAACTAGTAAATCTAGTCAGGATGTGCTTGACGGAGACACTCAATAAAGTTAGAATCGGTAATAATCTGTCGGAAAAATTTGAGGTTCGCTCGGGTTTAAAACAGGGAGATTCCCTTTCGCCTGTACTGTTCAATTTGGCATTAGAACATGCCATTAGGGAGGTAATGCGTACCGAGAAAGGGTTGGATCTGGGCGGGACAACATCCGTTCTGGGCTATGCTGATGATCTGGTACTGTTAAGCGAAGACGTTGAAACTATAAAGCTAAATACGACAACGTTAATGAAAGCCGGTAAAAAACTAGGACTCGAAATAAACGTGGATAAAACAAAATATATGGTTAGCTGCAAAAATGGCGATACTACTGGTGATATCGATATAGATGGTAATATGTTTGAACAGGTAGATAAATTTAGGTATCTAGGTTCTACGATAACTAGAAAAAACGAAATTGAAGAAGAGATTAAGGTTAGACTGAAGGCGGGAAGTGCTTGTTATTTTTCTGTGACAAAACTACTCAGTTCACGCCTCTTGTCCCGGAACTTAAAAATTAGAATCTATAAAACAATTATCTTGCCTACAGTTCTTTATGGATGCGAAACTTGGCCGCTTACACTAAGGGATGAGCAGCGTCTTAAGGTTTTTGAAAATAAAGTATTGCGTAGAATATTCGGACCGAAGAAGGATGAGTTAACCGGAGAGTTCAGACGGTTACACAACGCCGAATTGCGTGAACTGTAATATAATTGAGGTAGTTTCGTTGCGGCGAATCAAATGGGCTTGTAAAGTTGTTGGGCTTAGTTACGAGAGAATTCCTAAAAGATTAATATTTGCTGTGCCGAATGGTAAACGTCCGAGGGGTAGACCGAAGCGAAGATGGGAAGATTGCATTAAAGCTGATCTGAAGGGACTGGGTTTGGACGGTGATCGGTGGAGGGAGGTGTGTAATAAGCGATTGGTGGTGTCGGCATCGAACCTTCGGGTTCGCTAAGCCTTTTATTATTATTATTATTATTATGAGTTGGAAGAAGCCTCGTTTTATCTAATATGAATATTCTTGAAATTTTATGAAAGTTAAGGTACTTATTGAGTACGCGGGCGACTATATGCCGTGTTGACACAAACCCCTTGACCACCGTGTAAATAGAATCACAGTTGAGTTCGCTGGAAATTAAATTCTCCATACCTTCCGAAGAAATCAGGATCTACTGTATTACCCAGCACAGTTACTATAGATAAAAAGATAAAAATAATTATGAAACTATGATTTAACAAAATAGGGCAATTATTTAAGATAATTAATGACATTGGCGTAAATAGTTCTGAAGTCCCTTCCCTCGCAATCTAACTCAATAAGGTCGTACGTTCCGGTTTCTTGCACCCTCACTCTCCTATTTTCACTAAAGCACCTAAATAATAATTACCTAAATATATAAACAACTTTGAGCTGAGATAAGTTTTAAGAAAAACGCAAACTTTCATTTAATAATAGCAATTTATTATCATAACTTCACAAAATTCCGTCTACAATGTGATGGATGTGATCTTGTGTACGCTTAATATAGTCGTTCACCTACTCCATAAGTAAAAATTTAAAAATTCATTATTATTTGCACAATACGATTATTAAGTATAAGTTTATTGTTTAAATCAATATTGCTTACTTGGTATAGAGAATCTCCTGTAGTGTATGAAATAATATAATGAGATCCATATTTCTTTACAAAGTTTCCAACACTGGGTAGATCACCATCTTCTACTTCATTGGATGAATCATTTATGTGCTGTAAAGGTTTTAAATTCGAAGCAGCTTCATCGCTCAACCTTTTAGATTCTCTACTTCTAGATAGACGAACTAGTACATAACAGTAATCGTTACCAATGTAGCTGGTATTTAGACCGAAGTTTCTTGCTATTGCTTCATTTGACCAACTGGCAGCAAAAGCCTTCCAAGCTTCCTTCATATGTTCAATTACGAATTCCCGAAAATAAGCTTCCAACAGTTGAGTAACATCGTCGCAAAATTCCATGTGGAAATCTCCATTAAAAATTGCTCCATCTTTGTCAGAATAGCTGAAAAAAGTTAATGAAAATCTATATTAGAATAAGGAGTATATTATTAAGTAAATTATTCATTAAAAATTACACTATTGATAGTGAGACTGTATATGGGACACCCTCTCGCTTTTAAACAAGTCTACTCGAGCTCTATAAACATTTTGATGCTCTTTCAATTCAATTCAAACTTATGTAGAGTCTTAGTAAGCCAGTAGATGAAATGCCGTTGGACCGTTCGGACTTAAATGCGCAATTCGGTCTTAATTTTTTATTATTATTAGGAATGTTTATGTTCCTCATGCCAACAGTATATGCCCGTTTATTCTGCGAACAGAATTAAGTGATCTTTGAGCCAATTACATTCTCATATATTGACTTATCTACATGAGAGATTTTTTCATTTTGTTTTTATTTGTTTATTTAGAAATATAATATTCTGTCACGTTGACAATAATTATAGTGATATATGAACACATTCACACCATATATACAGAAAATATAAAATTAACAAAAGTAAAATAATAACTAAATAATTATCAAAAAACTATGTACAATAAAAATAAAATAACCTAAAGATAAGTAAATTAAAAACGTAAAAACACAGTCATACCTATATACAATATATACAATCAGGCAGGGAACCCCAAGCCAGGCTTGTCCCTCCAACTATAGAAGGAAAAGCAGGACTCCAAGAGATCCCTGCGCTACTCTCTCAACCGCGTCACTGGTGCCAAAGCCAGTGGAGTTTGAGCGAGTGTAGCCACATACACTCATTTCTTGAGTGAATAATCTGGCCATTAACAGAACTCCAAGATATATACTACAAAAGATCTCTGGGCCACTGCCGCTTCAACCTACCACTTTGGCGGTGACCACATATCCTCAGCCCTAAAAAACAAGCAGTTTTGCTCGAGTGCATTTCTGGACATAGCGCAAGGTTTTGACCGGGTATGGCACGCCGGAATGCTCTTCAAGCTCAAATCCCATCTACCACAGTCCTTATATCTAATACTCCAATCCTACCTCTCCGACCGCTCCTTTCGAGTTCGGTGTGGTACAGAATTTTCCGACTGTTACTCAATTGAGGCTGGAGTTCCTCAAGGCAGCGTCTTGGGTCCCATCTTTTACATCATCTATACCGATGACATTCCCGTCCATCCCGATACACTCCTGGCAACTTTCGCTGGTGATGCCGCGGTCCTGTCTTCTAACTCGGATTCTGGAGCAGCGTCCATAAGCCTGCAACGGCACTTATCCCTGATTGAGCACTGGTGCGGGAGATGGCGCGTCAAGGTCAATGAATCCAAATGTAAACATGTGGACTTCACCCTTCGTCGTGGTTCCTGTCCGCCAGTTTGTTTTGATTCCATCCAGCTTCCCTTCTCCGACACAGTCCGGTGCCTTGGTTTCCTCCTGGATAGACGACTAGCGTGGAGTCCGCATACCGGACTGGGGAGACAGGAGTCCGGACTTTCTATTGAGGGCAAACTGCTGATCTGCAGGACAGTGCTGGAACCCGTCTGGACCAAGGGCTGGCGCTGTGGGGGACGGCCAAGTTTTCTAACGTCGGGCTCATTCAATCCTACCAGTCCAAAGTCCTCCGTACAATAGTCGATACTTCCTTCTATGTTACCAATAAAACCCTGCATAATGACCTTAATATTCCATTTATTCTTGATCTTATCCCAGACAAATTCTCCAAATTTCATCAGAACCTTACCCATCACCCTAATCCCGTAGCACAATCTCTATCTAGCACCACTCATCCCTACAATCCTCCTCGCAGACTAAAACGGCAGTGGTCCCGTGAAGTTTTGTAACATGTATATATTGGAGTTCTGGCGATGGTCAGATTCTCCACTCAAGTCATGGGTTTCTGCGGTTGTAGAGCCGTTACTCAATCTACGCTGGCTTTTAATACCAGTGAAGTGGTTGAGGAAGAAGCGCAGGGATCTCCCGAAGCCTCGCTTTCCCTCCACATCTGGGGGGACAAGTATGGTTCAGAGTTTCCATGGCCGACTATAAATAGGTATGCCTGCATCTAAGGTGTTTATTTTCATTACTTTTTTTTTAAAGATAATTTTAATTCTATTTTATTCATTTATGTTTATTCTATTATTACTATTATTTATATTTTCTTCCTTCACTATGATATTTTATTTTGTTCTTATTTAACTTTATATTATTTGAAATTACCTTATTTATTTATTTTTTATTTTTTTGAATTTGTAAATATGGTGTGAATGTGCTCTCAGAACTCTATTATAAATGTCCTTTATTGAAACAGATTGTAATATTTATCAATAAACAAAGAATCCAAAAGAAATATTTAAGGTAGGGAGGGGGGAGTGAGAGATGATGTCTCATTGCTCGGTGCGCCCTTATATATAAGTCAGAAGACCGGGAACGAGTATTACGGGAACGAATAGAGGATTTAAATTGAAGGAGCTCAGAGATGTATGAAGGACGGTGTGATAGGATAACTTGAAAGAGGAAGGATGCCAGGAAATATTTACGACGGTAGGAAGGATAAATCCACTTCAACTCTGCATAAAAATGGGAAATAGAGGCGTCCCTTGGTATCCCGAAGATGAATCTTACAAAGCAATTTATTAAACGTTTTAGTTTCGCTTCGAAATCCCCAGAGAAGCCCCCATATACCGAACAGCAATAGTCAAAGTGGGGGAAAATTAAAGAAGTGACTAGGAACCTACGGGTTTCAAATGGAAATAGGTAATGAGAATAATTTAGGCGTTTTAGAGTGGAAATGGTATGAAGGGAAATATTGGATGCATGGTTTTTCCAGGAAAGTGTTTGATCGAATGTTATTCCAAGTTTTTTCACGGTGGGGTAAAATTTGATGGGATTATCATGTAGGAACAGAGTTGGAATATTAGGAACGGTTTTAAGTAGGTAATTGGAGCCTATTAAGATTGCCTTCGTCTTTCCCGCATTCAACTTTAACTTGTTAGTTCTCGCCCAGTCACAAATCCTATCCAAGTCTTCTTGTAGTTTCTCTGAGGCAGATAATAGGTCTGAGGGTGGGAAAGGCAGGTATATTTGGAAATCATCTGCATAGATATGGTATTGGGAGTGACGGATCATGAGGGGAAGGTCATTGATGTAGATAGCAAACAGAGTAGGAGATAGAGAGGAACCTTGAGGGACACCACAGGAGAGGGGAAGGGTCTTAGATGAAGGTTGGCCTGGGACTACTACATACTGGGACCGATTTGAAAGGAAGGATTTGAATATATATATATATATATATATATATATATATATATATATATATATATATATATATATATATATATATATATAAAACTATTGGAGCCCTTCTATTTAAATATGATTTTAATGTTTAGAAACTTTAATGTGATTTGAATGTAATATTGTTAACAAATAGAGGGTAGATAACAGATATAAAATTGATTATAAATGATTTTCTTACCTGATTATGTCATCTTCCTTCATTTCAAAAACATCAACGGTAGGCTCACGAAAAACCCATGGGTGAGGTTTTCCCACTACCTGCATGGACACACCCATAAAGCCATATCGTCCAAAAATATTCATTGCATTGCCAATTTTTAAGCCATCCGATGCCAATGATTCTCCACACAAAAATAAGAGTAAATACAGCATATTTCTGCAATTAATAAGAAAGAAATATCTATGACTTAATCAACAATAAGTAACAAATGACAGATTATTAAAGATGTTAACTACTTGCGAAAAATAATTGGGCTCAGGCAATAAAAACCTGGTTTTGTGGCCAACACAGATTAGAGCAGGCTATGTATATGGTTACTTATTAGTGTGGTTAATTATTAGTTTAGCTGTACACATTAGATTGACGAATTATCATTTTTCTCATGTGTGTAATATTCAATTACATTTTCATTTATAAGTAATTTTCCTATTTTTTTTTCTGTTATAGTGGAGTAGTTGCGCGTGAATTCAATAGATAGTGGCGAACCATGCAGTAACCTCCGGGTTGGACTATAACAAGTCGTTGGTATTATTGTGAACCTATTATTGATAAAATATATATGTTATGAAGTTTGTCAAAATTTGTTTGTATATACTATTTCATTAGGTCATAGATCATATCATATACACTAAAGTGATGACCCCAAAGTAAGTATACAACGATGAGTAACTATACCTGCATATTAATATCCAAATAGATAGAAAAATTCTATAGAATGAATTCAGAAGAGGTATTTGACCCTCTGACTTTAGAAGAAGAAATTAACTCCGCAGCGAGCTTAGTGGTGCAGCTGCCATCTTTTAATAAGAATGACACCGAAGTTTTTTTGCAATTAGAAACAGTTTTTTCCCTACACGGAATGAAAAACAGTCTAAAAAAAATTCAATACGCGATGTCTCAATTAGAAAGTGAAACCATTCGTGAGGTTATTGACTTAGTGAAAAAACCCCCGACGGAAGATGCTCAGAAAATTCGTTCGAGGATTACGAGGTACTATGGAGAATCCGATTGCGGACGTATTCGTACGTTATTTGATGAACAACAGGTTGGCGATAAACTCGGGCTTCTTGAGAGATCTACAACAGCCGGTGGGTACATTGGTTACATTGCGTTACTAACCCCACCCCCTTCGTTAAAGAACCGCTGCATTCAGTTGTCCATCACATCGAGACCCGCAGAGCCCCAGTAACATCAAGGCTCAACGGCTGCATCCTGAAAGATACGCGTCAGCTAAACGCGAATTCGAATAAATGTTGCAAGAAGGTATTATTCGCCCGTCTAGTAGCCAATGGGCGAGTACTCTGCATATAGTTTTCAAGAAGGATGGAGGTACGAGACCTTGTGGCGATTATCGGCAGCTTAACGTAAAGACTACACCTGATAGGTATGCAGTACCTAACATCGCCTGTTTCAACATTAGTCTGCACGGAAAACGTTGTTGGATGAAGTTGGATTTGCTGATGATACTGCCATTCTATCCTCTCACTCAGATCCTCAAATAGCATCTGTAAACCTACAATCTCACATCTCCTTGATTGAGCAGTGGTGCAACAACTGGCGCATCAAAATCAATGAATCAAAATGCAAATATATCACTTTCACCCTGCGACGCAGATCCTGTCCGCCAATCATTTTTAATTCAATAACACTTCCCTACTCAGACACAGTCCGTGACCTTGGCTTCCTTCTAGACAAAGACTAACTTGGAACCAACATACCAGACTTAAAAGACAAGAACTTAACCGACGATATAGACTACTAAGCAGGAAATCTCATCTTTCGATTGAAAATAAGCTTTTAATCTACAAGACCATACTGAAACCTATCTGGACCTACGGACTTGAACTGTGGGGAACTGCTAAACATTCGAATAACAAACGCACCCAATCCTTCCTATCCAAAGTACTTAGAACAATAGTCAATGCCCCATATTATGTCACAAATAAGACCTTGCACAATGGCCTTAACATTCCATTTGTCCTCGACATCATCCAATCCAGATTCTCAAACTTTCACCAGAACCTTATCCATCATCCAAATCCTCTAGCTCAATTCCTATCCAGCTCCCTTCATCCTTACAATCCTCCTCGAAGGTTAAAACGGCAGTGGCCCAGAGATCTCTTGTAATTATGATTCTGGAGTTCTGGCAATGGCCAGCTTCTCCACTCAAGTCCTGAGCATCTGTGGCTCTAGTGCCCTCCTTCAGTCTCCACTGGCCTACCAGTGACGCGGCTGGAAGAGAGGCACTGGGATCTCCTGGAGTCCTGCTTTCCCTTTTGGAGGAGAAAGCTTGGCTCGGAGTTACCTGGGCGGATGTAAATATTGTACATAGGAATGAATGTGTTAAGATGATTTATTTTATTTTTACTAATTGATTTATTTTTGATTTCATTTATGCTTGTTATCCTATTTTTATATTTACTTTTCCTAGTTTACTCATTTATTTTTTATTTATTTTTATTTTTTATTTCCCTATTATATGTACATATGAATGAACACATTTTGCCCTGTTACTTATCGCCCTTCAATGATGCAGATTGTACTTTCAAAATAAATTTCCTATAAGGCTATTGTAAGTCGTGTTATTTGCAATTTTTAGTTGCTATTGGTAATTCCTTTTGTTTATTTACTACTTTAATTTTATTATTAATTTATGTGGATAGGAACTATTTTTTAGTATTTTCATTATTTGTTGCTTAATTTCTTTCATATACATATATATATATACATATTGTTTTTTAAATCTTTTGCGTTTTTAACATCAAAAGGATTATTGCTACAAAACTGGTTCAGACTTCGGTTCAGGAATTTTGACATGTACGTTGGGCCGTTAATAGCGTCTACTATTGGTCAAGTATCGTCTTTTTTATATGTTTTATCAGACCGTGAATTTTTGGTGATGATTATTTATTAGTTTATGTCTAGTTTTTTTTTTATCTATAAATTTGAATTTTTCTAATTTATTAACATAATATGAAATCATTTTATTTAATTCTTTTTCGGAGTCATGGCTCACGGTTTTATACACATACTTGTCATTTAATAGATCTAGCATCTTCTTGCTATAAAAAAACTGAGAATAAATTTTATTTTTTTATCTTATCTATCTCTGGATTATTTTTGACGATTTTTTTGGTACTTTTACAATCCGATTTCATCATATTTTTAAATGGAGTAAGATAGCGTGAATTTATGTTATTTTCTTTATTATTATTATTTTCCTCATTAATAAAATTAAGTAAGCATTTATTTATATTATTTCTAAGAGCATTTTTATAAATATCTGATGTATCAATGTCATCTAAAATACTTTCTAAATCAGCAATTAGTTCAATAACATCACTGTCATAATTAAATGGAAAGAAGATAAAAGATTCCCCGAGATTGATAAAGTTATAAATATTGTGTGGAATTTTGTAGTTACATAAATTAATAATTCTATTTTCCTTAAATAACATTTTATATTTCTCCAATTAGAGTGCTACCATTGGGTAGTTACTCAGCAAGTGTATTCATGACATTATATCTACTATGTCCAAATTTACTTGATGTATTTATGTAATACAGTTGTAAATGTCATTAAGAAAAAAAAAATATTTATCCAATATTTTGCTGCAATGATCATCTATACGCAATTTCGAACTAGTATTATTTAATGAGAGAAGGAGTTGAACGGGGATTGCGGTCAAATAAATACTTAATTAAACAAGTAGAATTATTTAATTTTTGCCGACGTTTCGACCAACTTTGCAGGTCATCATCAGGGCTACAAAAGATACAAAACCTGGTGAAAATAAAATAAATGAATATAAGTAGATATAAAATCATTATAAGTTGTCTGATACAGAAATAAAAAGTTGATATCAGAGATATAGTGTCAGAGATATAGTGGGTGACAATGTAGTTAAAATATCAAGTATTATATGTAGAAGATACAAACAAAAATGGAAAAGAAGTATGAAGTAAGTATTTTCATACTTATTTTACTATTCATACTTACTTATGAAGTGAGTATTTTCATCTTTATTTTCCATTTTTGTTTGTATCTTCTACATATAATACTTGATATTTTAACTACATTGTCACCCACTATATCTCTGATATCATCTTTTTATTTCTGTATCAGTCAACATATTCTTATTTTATATCTACTTATATTTATTTATTTTATTTTCACCATGTTTTATATCTTTTGTAGCCCTGATGAAGACCTGCAGAGTGGATCGAAATGTTGGCAAAAATTAAATATTCCTACTTGTTTAATTTATTATTAATTAAAAACATAAAATATTAGAACAGTATTCTTGTTCATCTTCTCATGTCAACTCTGAAAGGATTTTAGGTAAAATTTTTTTTTGTTTAAATAAATGATGAATAAATAATTTAATAACATTTTTATATACCGACTTCTCCAAAAATAGGGGGCTCCTCTTTGTCGGACACCATCTTACTGAGTGCTGAGAATTTACTGTCCGCACCCTCTATATTATCCCAACTATTTGGCAACTAAAGTTATCCTCCTTATTTTAAATCGTTATTATTTAAATTTTTATGGATGTCCATTACATGTGAATAGTGTTGTGGGATGTGGGCCGCTTCCCGTTTTGAATTTAGCACATTTTTTTTGGTTTATTGCTATATATACGGATTCTAATAAAACACGTAAAAAAGACGAACCTCTTCGACCTACAGTAGACGCTACTAACGTACCTGTGAAAATTCCTGAACCCAAGTCTGAATCAGTTTTATAGCGATAATCGTTTTGATATTAAAAACGCAAAAGATTTAAAAAACAAAATAAATTTTATAAAAGATGGATATTCGATGTTCAGTTATGATGTAAAATCACTTTTTACAAACGTTAAAAATTGTCTACTAACATATAATGGTCTAATATCTGAAGATTGGGATAAGATTGAACCGCAAACCTCAATAAGAAGCAGGACGATGTTTCTTGTAGTAATCAGACTTTGCACTGAAAATAGATTTATCTTTTCAAAAACAGACCTATAAGCAAATTATCGGTTTCCCGATGGGCAATTCGTTATCTGTAAAATGTAGTCCTGAATTATATTCACGAAAATACATTAAAACAAACGAATATAAAGCCCTTATTCATCGTAAAATATATGGACGATCTATTTAAACATGAAGAG